CAATTATTTTGAAAATCATATGTTAAGCTATCAAAAATAAATTAAATTTATGATATCACATCTTATTTGAATTTATCTTATAAGTTCAAGTTCTAGAACTGATTTCTCATATCATGTTAGTTATTAAATTTAATCTATCATATAAAACTAAATTTAAAATTAACACAATATAATATAATATATAATAGATATAATATATCACACACACACACACACACACATATATATATATTTCATATATACATATATATATATATATATTATATTTTGAATTTTATATTTCATATACATATACATATACATACATACATACATACATATATATATATATATATATAATATTTATTAGATAAATATTCAAATACCTACATACATACATATTTTTAATTCATAGAATTTGTTCACCCTAGATAAAATATTACATTCATTGAATTTAGATATATTTTTAATTTAATGAACTTAGACATTATAGCTCAAGTTAGGCTATTCTTGTGTACGACCTTATAGGCCTATATGAAATTGGCAGTGGGCCAATAACACTACTAGCTCATTAGTCATAAGTGACATCTAGCAAGACATTGTGACTATCTAATTCATATAAGGATTAATGATCTAATGTAACCTATTATATAACCGTCTCACATCCCCTATGTCACGTGATATTTTAGTCAAGTGTGAGACATGAAAATGTCATTCTCCTTTACCTGACTATTACTTTCTTAATCTTTGAGTAGACTGACTATAGCAATAAAAAAACTCTTTTCATTGTAGTATGGGCATACATTTTCTCAGTCTTACTCATTGAAGGGCCTGGTAATATCTCTTAATTAATTTGTGGCACAAATTCCATCTTAATTACTCATATTTCTCTACATGAATATCACTAAACTCAATCATAGCCATTATGATCACTCAATTAAAGGTGATTTTTGACTAGGTTAAAGTTCAGTAGTTATCATGTAGGAATTCATGATGATCTCAAGTCAAAATCTTAGTGACATGATTACATAAGAGATAAATTTATGACTTGTACCATACAGCTTTCTCATAACAAGTTGATCCAGCACCTTATACCCTTTCATGTGCCTATGACTTTGATTTATATCTCTATAGTCTAATCAAAATCATACTAGTGTTGTTTCATCTATGATCCCTCTTAGATGACTGGCTAGGGATATTTAGGACACTCAATATAGTTTATCTAAGGATACAGTTATCATAATGAACATACAGCTAATATGATAATAAAAGAAAAGTTCATTAAATAATAATGTTCATAATATGATGATTGGCCTTTAGGCACAATTTCCAACATAATTCTCTACATAACCTTTCATAAAAATTTCTTAATATATAAGGACATAACTCTTTAATTTATAAGGACATGACTTTTCAAAAAAGACATCTCTTCATTTTTAAAATATTCCAATAATATCAATGAGTTTTTATAGTTAGTTTATATATGTTTCAATGAGTTTTTGGTCGATTATTGATTGTAATGGACAATTGAAATTTGTTGTTAAATTGAATTTTTACTAGCTGGCTAGATTTTTTTTATCTATATTATAGGATTTCTTATGGTGTACAAGATGAAAACATAAAGAAATGGATTAAATATTGAAAAATGGAGAGAAAATCTACAACGGTTGTGACAATGATTAATGTAGAAAGTATGTAGGGATCCCCTTTCTCACTAGTGAGAAAAAAGCATATTTAGACTAGTTAAAAATGCTCATTGAAACTGGTTTAACACCTGGTTTAGAAAAGGGAGGTTCTAAATTGGTTCTACAACTTGTTTACAAAATAGTTTAAAAAATCATTTTCTAAACCAATTAACACCTTGTTTAGAAAGTAACCTAGAGAAAGCCAAAAAAAAATTAGAAAAGATATTCTAAAGCAATTTGAAAAACATAATTATACTTACATCGGCTACAACTATATGAACAAGCCTCTTTGGCCAAAGGAGAAATATCTTCTTAGCCTCATCTACAATCTTGACCTCTTCAATAGGGTGTGGGACAAGGGCATTAATAACTACAAACTCTTAAGCCACCACTTTAACTTAGTCATATTGTATTGGTGTGTGGTGGATGGTTGGCCTTATGTGGTAAACATTACCACATGCTACTATATGTCTATTAGGATCCACTACATATAATTCATATCGATCAACTAAAGTAGGACCTTCAGTGCCCTCTAATAAACACCTATCAATTTAGCAACTTCCTTTCATGCTTTGACGAGCGACAGGAGAGTGTAGGTATGCAGGGAAGATGTATCTTGCCCTAAGCTTATGATATTCATCATTTTCTCCTCTATTTGCTTCATCCTAGCTGCTAGCTTGGTATAAATGATGCTTCTACTTCTACCTTTACCTCCACCCTTGCCTCTTACCTCATAGTGGCCAAGATTGCCTCTAGATCCTCCTTGGTGACTACTACTCAGGCATTTCATGCAAATGATCCAAATATGTCCCTTATAGTCACCCCACCTCCAAATCCCCTAACACAGCCAAGATACTCTTGTTTCCTTAAAGCGACAATTAAGATGTCATTCCTTCCGTATATCATAAAGGTTCTTTCAGTTGCTTACTTTTAAGTTTATCTTGTAACACCAGACTACAAAAATTAGGAATAATGATTTAACTAAGGCAAATAAAATAAGGGTACTTACAATCTTTTCACCAATTACACAAGCCTTATCACTTGTATAAAACCCACTCCTTGTTTAGTGCACATACTTGCATTTGTCTTCACAACACATTAGAGATGGTGGAAAAAGAAGAATGAAAGGGCTAGACTGAGCTTGTTCCTCCAACCTTTTCCTCTTTTGTGCCATCAAGTCTCAGTCAGCTTTGACAAGTTTCATATGTAGGGAAGTTATTTATGGTACAAAAAATCATGGCACACATTTTAAAGATTTCCTTTTGAGTCAAACACATCCACACTTACCTTCCTCAACTTTTTCAAGTCTTTGATCAAGGGTATTAGATAAATATTTATGTCATTCCGTAGTTGTTTAAGTCCCAAGATCAATATAGAAAGCATGATGTATTTGTGTTTCATGCACAACATAGGAGATAAGTTGTAAATCACCATAAGCACATGCCATGAACTATGAATGCTACTAAGACTACCATAAGGATTCATACTATTAGTACTAAGTCCAAGCCTAAGAATCATTAGTTCATTGCCAAAATCAAGAAATGATCGATCTGTTTTCTTCCATTGCTCAGAATTGGTTAGATGTCTCAGCTTTCCATCAGGAATCCTCTCATCTACATGCTGTCTTAGATTTTTTGCATTCCTTTCATTGGCAAAGAGATGCTTAAGTCTTGGTACAATTGGAAAACACCATAACATCTTTGTGGGAGCTTTATTCTCCTCGTACTTTGATGTCTTACATACTAGACAATTCATATCATCTTTAAACTCTTTTCTATAGAGTATCCAATCATTAGGGCATGCATATGTTTTCTTAAATTTCATGCCCAATGGACATAATATTTTCTTTGCATCATAATACCAATTCGGTAGCACATTTTGATCTAGAAGGGTGTCTTTTAGTAGCTTGAGTAATTTTGTAAAACTCTTGTTGATATGTCTATGCCTTGTCTTCAAGCACACCAATTTCAACACTGATAACAATAATTGATATTTTTTGCATCCCAAATATAGAGGCCTCTTTGCTTCACTACACATATTGTCATGTGCATGTAATTGCTCAAAATCCTCTTCTCTAATATCATGGATCATACCCTCTAACCGGTCTACTATATCCTCATTAACTTTCTAATATTGCAATGTACTCGGCCTCTGCCTTTCAATTTCTTCACCATGACTTGTTTATATTGTATAACTTTTGCAAAACTCCTTACAAATCAAGTGCATATATATTTATGCAATACTTTAGTCTCCTCTCATTCAAACATTCCACACAAGGATAATAAAACCTCCCACAATCATTAACGGCATTCCTTTTGGCAAAGTCCAAAATCTCCTTCATCCTATTGTCATACTCATCACTTGTTCATTTATCATTCATCATTTATCTAATTATGATTCATAGTTTATTTCCTAAAATGAAATAAAGATAAATGATTAATTGTTATTGCTAATTTTCAATTGTACTTGAAAATTCCCAATTCTTTAGAGAACACTATGCAATATCCTTTTAGAGTCGGCTTCCCTCTGATATAATAGGTAGGAGAAGTGAAGCCAACTCTATATTCTTTTAACATTTCCATATAAGCAAACTCTAAAAGTTTAAGATTTCTTATATCCATTAGAAAAGGTAAGGGCTAAATAATAAGTTTTAAAAAATTTCGATATAATCTCCCTTAAAAGTTGGACTTTCCAATTAATAAATTTAGAGAGGAAAAATATCAGTCATGCAATCCCTATGAGCTTCAGTCCACCTCTACAAGCATTCCCCCATATTACAGAAAATTTATCAATGATGCTATCACAGTAATTCAATTCAAAAGTCATAGAGAATTCACAATCAAACTGAGCTGCAAAGACAAATAACTTTACACTATTACTCACATATATTCATTGAGAATTTTCATTGTTTAACACAATAATTCAATTCAATTCACAAAAACTAAGTTATAATGCAAACACGTAAGTATATTAGTAATTAAGCTAAAAATTGGAATGTCATGAAGTTGAAGGCTAACAAATTTAACTGACACTCATGGTTTAAAAAAAAATTCATCAAAGTTTCTCTTAAAAGTTGGACATTTTAATAATTTTATAATTGAAAATAAGCTCATAATCAATTTAATTTCATCCAGCAACAACCCCAATAAATTTAAAAACCCCACAATATTAAGTAAGTAGATTTGTTATGCCTAATTTGCTAAATATTCAACGAAATACCAGCTGGCATTAAAGGCAATATTGAAACGTTAAGTATATTTGTTATAATTAAACAATCTGAGCACTATTGAAGAACAAGAATCAGACGAGAATTTTTTTTTTTAAAAAATACCTGGTGGAAGCTTGAAGGCGAACACAAATAGAGGTAGAATTCACCAAGCTTGAGGAACACGAGCAAAAGAGGAGGAGGAAGAAGAAGAAAAGTAAAATTAATAATCAAACAAATTTCAATCCAGTTGAAGGTTGCAATAGCTGAGAATAATAAAAAATGCAGACAAAAAACAATTTTACCTGGAACAAGAGGAACCAGAGACAAAGAAGAGAAACAAATTTGGGTTGCACGAGCACGAACCCAGAAGACAAAAGAGCTTCAGAATCTCAGACCCGAGCTTCAAACAATCCTAAACCCCATGAACACGAGCTCCAAATCAGACAACCTCACGAGCTTTAGAACATGAGCTTTAGAATGGATTAAAGCTCGAACCAGATGCACCCACCAGAAATTCGAGGAAGACAAGAAGAGGAAAATGAGGAAGATTGATTAAAACTCAAGAATTCAGGATGAGAGGTGCGGATGAGAGATTTTTTGGCCGTCGGAAGAAATTCAAACATGACGAAGGAGTTGAAAAAAAAAAAACAAAAAAAGTGAGGACATAGGTCTAATAGCGTTATTTTAAATTCAGAAGGACTTTGTAGACCTGTTACTATAAAAAAAACCGGTCTAAAAGTAATTGAAAACATTTTTTAATTTTTATTAGTTTCTGGATCTGGACCGGTTTTTCGCCTAGAAAGTCATTTAATAAATTAATTTTTTAAAAAATAGGTTTCATAAAAACCATTCTAGAAGTGAAAAACATAAACATTTCAGAAAATTTTTTTAAAAAACTTTCAAACCTCTACTTACCCGATTTAGAAACTACAAAAATTTACTTTTTTTTTTTTGAAAAAGAAGCCATATATTCTAGACGGGTTATGTTGTTAACCGGTCTGGAAAACATTATTAAGACCGGTTCCCTTGGGAATTAGTTCAAAAAGTGTTTTAATTATGATATTGCCACCAATTATATTTACTAAACTGTCTTCACCATAATCGGTTTAGAAAGGGTAGCTTAAAATGTATTTTTTCACTAGTGTCGACATCAATTATGACCCATAACTGGTGCAGAATAAAGTTAGAAAAATAATTAATTTTTAAATTTTCAGCATATTTCTGCCCTGGTTTTACAACTAATCTGAACACAAACTAACAGAACATGTATAATATATTAGTTATACATAATAAATACATACATACATGTGTGTGTATTGCTCCATATTTTTATTTATGCACATTTTTCTAATATTCATCTACATATATAACAGGTAAAATAGACTAAAGTAACTTTCAATCAAACATATGTGCTTATTTTAGGTACAGTTCATATATTTTGCATGTCTATACACTACAAAAAAATTGACTTTCAGCGGTGACAAATGTCACTACTGAAAGTCAAAAAGTCGATACAATGTCGCCGCGAGAGCTCCTATCACTAATTCAATCTGCGGTGACAATAAAAGTCACCGCTAAAAGTTGAGAATCAACGGCGATATTTGTCGCCGTCGAAAGTCAAAAAGTCGCCCTGAAAGTTTTCAGCGGCGACAAAAAGTTACCACAATGTCGCCTCAAGAGGTCTTGTTGTTGATTCAATCTGCAGCAATAATAAAAGTTGCTAATGAAAGTTAAAAATTGGCAATGACAAATGTCGCTGCAAAAACCATACATCAACAACGACTATATCTGTCGTCGTTGAATGTTAAGTATCAGTGGCAATATTTGTCACTGTAGAAGCTACCAAAAAGTCGCTGCTAAAAAGTAATGTTGGTTCACTTACACACATGGCACCACGTCACCGTCCACATGGCACCCACCTCACGCCACGTGGTGCCATGTCATTCTCCATGTGTCACCCTCACCTCACGCCACGTGGCACCATATCACTCTCAATGTGTTGCTCTTACCACACGCAACGTGTCATCATGTCATTGATTTATATTTCCATTTTAAAAGTTGTCTCTACCAAGATTTGAACCCGTGACCTCCTCCTTTTGTGTCCAACTATTTTGCCGCTAAGCTGGCATGAACCTGTAGTCTATTACTGCATAATTAAACACACACACACACACACACACATTATTAAACTATACAAACACACATCTATATTAAATATTAAATATTATAAAATATCATTACTATCCTTAAATACTTCAATTTAATTCTTTTAATTTATAAAATTACAAATTATATTATCTATTTTATTTAAAGTAAACTATAAATATAATTGATACAATATAATTTGTATTATTTATTTTAATTTTTTTTAACTTCTTGAGGTTGTTATATTATTTATTTTAATATTCATATTTATAATTATAATATAAAAAATATCTAAGAATAAATAGTAAAAATACTAATGATTATACATTAGTAAAAAAAATTATAAAAATGCAGACAATCAATGACGATACTAAAAAGTTACTGCTGATTCTCGACTTTTAGCGGCGATTTTTTAATGTCACTGCTGAAACTTACAACATAATTTTTTTAAAAAAATTAAAAAATGTTGACAATCAGCGGCGACACTAAAAAGTTACTGCTGATTCTTGACTTTCAGTGGCGACATGTATGTCCCCGCTGAAACTAATAACATAATTTTTTTAAAAAAATTATAAAAATGCTGACAATCAATAGTGACACTAAAAAGTCACCACTAATTCTGGACTTTCAATGGCAACTTATATGTCGGCACCGAAACTTATAACATAATTTTTAAAAAAAATTATAAAAATGGCCAAATCTTTCACATTTATAACAAACTATTTCTATTTTAAATTTTTTAAAATTATCTTTTTTTCTATATTTTTTCAAGAAATATTTTTTATGTCTCATATATCTTTTATAATAATATTATATATAATTTTTTTATTTTTTCTAGAAGGGGCTTGTATTTTTCTAACTCTAGTTTTATAATATTAATTATTTGTCCATATGTTAAAATAGTAGAATTTATTGTTCTTTCGTATAACTAGTAAAATAAAAGCAGAAGAAAATATACAAAAGTATATAGAAAATGAAATAGATAACACCCTTTTTGAAATAAATCAACAAAGATACATGAACATAATATCACATATAACTTATAAAAAAATGATATTGCCAAGTAAGTTTAGTAACAAACAGAGAATATTCATGAAATATAATATTCAAAAATCCTGTGAAAGAATAGGAAAGTTAGGCAGTGGTGTTCCTATTAAGTCTAGGAAGAACAATATCAATAAAAAATAAAACTTGTAGAAATAGAAATATGAGATGGTTCGATAAGATATTAGGATATAAGTCAAAAAAAATAAGATGAGTCTTAAGAGTCTTAGTTTATAGCCAAATAGGAATAGTGAACCTGAAGGAAAAGAAGAGGTAGAAATAAAGAAATACATTATAAAAGAATTCAAGAACAAATAGAAATCTCAAAAATAGAAAATAGAATAAATTAAATAAGAGAAAAATTTGAAAAAAGTATTTGTGCAGAATATCTAAATTTTTTTTGAAATAGAAAAAGACACAAGAAATCACGAGTGAGAAACAAATATGACAAAAAAAGAAAAATAAAAAACAAAAGAAAAACAAGAGTTGAATCTTGTCAAAAAATAATTTAAGCACAAAAAAAAGTAATTAAGTGAAGCAAATCAAAAGAGCTAATTTAACTATGATTTTTCTAAATTTCTATAAAATCAAAAGACTTTTGATTTTGCAAGCATTGAGTTAAATGACCCTTTTTCTATCTCTTAATATAAACATCTCTCCACTTATAATATTACAAGATATGTATCTGTATCTATACATACATACATACATATATACATATATACAACTTTGTTAAATAAATGGAAATGAAAATAAATTGAAACTTAAATAAAAAGAACATCATGAAATTGGTAAAATAAAAATATATTTTTTTCTATGAAAAATACTTTAATCTAATTTTGAAAACACAAAAATTGAACTTGTCATAAAATTTAATTTCTAAAGCATAAGAAAGCTGACAATCAGCGGTAACATTAGAAAGTTGCCACTGATTCTCGGCTTTCAGCGGCGACTTGTATATTGCTGCTAAAATTTGCAACATAATTTTTTTAAAAAAATTATAAAAATACTGACAATCAGCGACAACACTAGAAAGTCGCGCTGATTCTCGACTTTCAGTGGCGACATGTATGTCGCCGTTGAAACTTGCAACATAATTTTTCATGTCACCTCTGAAACTTGCAACATAATTTTTTTAAAAAAATTATAAAAATACTGACAATCAGTGGCAATATTAAAAAGTCGCCGCTGATTTTAAACTTTCAGCAGTGACAGCAGACGTCGTCGCTGAAAGTGTGACTTTCTACAGCGACATGCACTTGTTGCCGTTGAAAGTCTGACAATCAGCGGCAACTATATCTTGTCGCCATAGAAAGTCACATTTTCAGTGGCGACTTTTACTGTCACCGCTAAAAGTTGAGAATCAGCAGCGGCTTTTTAATGTCGCCGCTAAAAGTCATTTTTTTTGTAGTGATATCATCCAAAGAATTTGGTTTCCTACTCTATATATCAATAAGAAAATAAGACCCTGGCCTTCACTGTGACTGCTAGGGTTGATATTTTGATGTATAATTTGTATCTCCAGCATAACACACAGCATACACCCTTCCATTCATGAAGAAATCCACGGCTGAGAAAGACATATTATCATATATAATGATCTTATTATATATATATATATATATATAATATACATATATTTATGTTCTACTTTTACATTCTTACAGAATCATTTCTACGTATAGTGTTAAAAGTTAAATGTTATATTATTTTCTTGTAAAAACCAGCTGTGAAACTCCAAGACAGTATTCTCTACTCTTTAGCAAGCGAAACTACTTGTTTTCCGATGTTGAGACCTCTGAATACTCTCACCAACGCTAAAGCTCCACTCTCAAGTCCTTCAACTATGTCTTCCACACAAGAAATCTTGCCTTCTCTGATACAAGGCAATATGAACTCCACGTACTTGTGATAAAGGTCGTAATAATCCACCACGTTGTACCCTTGCATGCGAATCCTTTTGTAAACCAGAGACATAATGTTAGTGATTCCTTCATGGTTATCAAGAGTGTACTGAGAGATCATTCCACACACGGCGATTCGACCATGCACTTTCATGTTTAGAAGAACTGCGTCCAGCATTTTGCCTCCAACAAGCTCGAAATATATATCGATGCCTTCAGGGAAGTACCTAGACAAAAATAATAATAGTCAACTTGGGACATAATAATAATAATAAGCAACAGTTTTCATAGTTCTTGTTATATTTTTTAGGAAGAATCACATCCAAGGACCACTCAAAAAACATAGTTGTAGATAAGGACTAATAACAAGTCCCATTCATGAAAAAACAAGGCCATGTTCTCATTTTAATAATAATCCATTTCATATTGATCCTTTTCTATAACTAAATTTCTTAAGTAGTCATTGAATGTGATTCTCCCTATTTTTTAAATGTTTCTAAAAGGCAAAAATGTTGTAGTGATTCTAGTATTTCATATGGAATTTGAAAATGAAGTGTTTTAGCAGCCAAGAACCTTTGGTTCAACTGGCATGATGGCATCCTTGTGATGCTTACGTCGCGGGTATGAAATACGCGTGGGAATGTTTCAACATCTGCCAACTCAAAAAAAAAAAAATAATAATAATAATAATAAAAACAAAGAAGAAGTGTTTTATAGTGGTTCTCGGATTTTGTTTTACAGAATTGAACGTTAATGCTAATGATTTTACCTTAAACAATCTCGACTGCCAATAATTTTTGAGTTTCAAATTAAAGTTCAATTTAGTTGTTATAATATTTAGTTCCATGCAGTGGTGGAGCTAGAATCCTAAGTTAGGAGGAGCGAAATCATTTACATATTCATACTTTGAAAAAATAATAAAAATTATTTAATAATTACATACCTTACAAATTTTCTCCACATGGTTTCATATTTTAGAATCGTTAAACAGTCGGCTCATTGTTAATGCTTTCAAATATATCTTTTTTAATATAAGTCACGAGATAATCATTCATCCATGGATTTTCCATTCGATTGTGCAACCAAATTTTTACAAACTTTATAATAGAAAAGGCTCTTTCAACTATTGCTGTGGCAATAGATAATACCATTACTAATTTCAAGATAAGGTAAACTAATTGATGAATAATGTGTCTTCCAGTTTCAACTAATTTTTTCACAAACTTATTTGAGATTTCAAACAACACGGCCGAGATTATTTTTTTTCTTTTTTTTAAAGGTTTAATAAATGTTAATTTTCTATAAAATAATATTACTATTTGGGTGTATTAAAATTGTGGGCTAAAATTTATTGGGCTTTTGAGTTAAAAAAAATTAATTTTGGATCTAAGTTAAAAAAATAATATGAAATGGTTTAAAATGCAAACTATATAAAAGAGGGGGGTGCAAAATACAAATACCTATGCCCCCATTCCTATGTAAGTAATTTTTCTTATTTGAGGTGGGGCATATGTCTCCCTTCAAATACATGTGGCTAGCTCCGCCACTGGTACTTCCATGCATGTATGTAGGTTGATTTGAGTTTGATAAGTCTAGGTTCAAGTTTACTTATTTGATTGGATTGTTTTACCGTTATATATTCACTAATTATCTTTTTATTTGATCCTTATATATTCACTAATTATCTTTTTATTTAAATGTGAAATTGAGGCTAGAACAACTAGCTTGGTTGTAGCCATTTATTCTGCAGAGTAATAAAATCAATTTAAGGTTCAAATGAGACAAACCTTTTCAAGGCTGCGTCCAAGTCAGGTTCTTCCTTATAGTTGAAAGCATCGTCAAACCCAAATTTATTCTTCACCAGATCAACCTGTATTCAAATCGTCACTTGAGCCGTCTAAGATGAATATGCGGGATTAAGATAAAATAATGTGCATCTCCATAATATATCTTTATTCCTCAGAGAAAGAAACTATAGAGAGAGTGTGCCCCACACCAGATCTTATATATCAATCGCTAAGCTACAGCCAGCAAGCTGCTAAAATGTGAACGTATATATATATGTGTGTATATATATATATATATATGTAGAGAGAGAGAGAGAGACAGAGCAGGGACAATGAGGACCTCTCTCAAGTGAGAAATATGCTTATAGTGAAGCTAAGGGCCTAACTACTCCAAATGCCAAGTTTTTAATAATATTTTTTAACATAAAAAAATGAGATAACAATAACTTCATCATTTCTCCACTTCACCTCTATATAATATCATCTATACAGAGAGGGTGACCGCTATATATATATATATATATATATTTGTCTCTGTGGGATCTGTATTCACTTGTGTATATATTAAGCGACTAAATCAACATTATGATAATCATAAATTATTATAAAATAAGTATAAAAATATAGAATACCTTGGCTTGAGTACCAACACTGCCAACAACATAGCAACCACTGAGTTTTGCAAATTGTCCCACAAGTTGTCCCACAGCTCCTGCAGCTGCTGAAATGAACACTCTCTCTCCTCTCTTTGGAGCACACACATGAAAGAATCCTGCATATGCTGTTAAACCTGGCATACCTATTTATCAAATTTTTTTTAATAAAAAACAAAACAGTCATCAATAAAGTGTTAAGCACATTAAGTAATAAGAACAAATCAAATAATATAATGATGGAAAAATTAAGGATCATAAGGCCATAATATAGGATTTACTATTACCAAGGATTCCAGTGTAATAGGATAAAGGTACATCATCATGGTGGATTTTGAACAAGGTTTCAGGTGACGTAATGATTGTGTACTCTTCCCATCCTGTTATTCCCCACACCAACTCGCCTTCTTTGAAATCTTGGTGCTTTGAATCCACAATTCTTGCCACTCCATACCCATGTAGTGGCTACAGTAAAGAAACTTTCATTCTTCAAATCATCACTTCATGTAAAATATTTGAAAAGCGCAAGAAACTGCTATGTTTATTATATAAGTAGTTTTGTTTTGGGAAAATCCCTCTTAAGTTCCGTATCCAAGCAATCTAAATACAAAAATTCTTGTGAAATCACAAAATTATTATGAAGTCTCATGCTCTTTTTTGAAGTTGTCAATTATTGTGGAATAGCTATTGATTATATGTTTGTTGTTTAGTTATCAACTAAACAACCATGCAGCAATAAATAATTGACAACTTCAGTAAAAGATGTGGGATTTCAAAATAATTTTATGATTTTATAAGACTTTTTCTATATTTAAATTGCTTATGTTGAACTTGAAAGTGAGTAGTGTTCATTTATTGTTTATAGGCTAGGAATAAAATGAATGGTGATGAATCGAACTCCTTCATATGTATAAATGATATGGATAATTCAAAAGAAGTAAAGTAACAATTGGCTAAGTTTTTATTATAACTATCTTCGGTTAAATAAACAAAGTAATTTTTTTGGCGAAAATAAACAAAGTAATTAAACTTATGCCAATTTTTAGAAATAAATGAAATAAATTTAATAAAAATTAATAAATATAAAATATATAGAAAGTCGTCATGATTTATTTCAAATTAAATATTGCAACCCAAAAGACCTGCTTCATATAGTAATTCAAAAACTAAATTCACTGCATTACACTTTATCAAGTAACTCATGAAAATGGCGACAAAACAATTTAACATGCCAAGAACACCATCATATTTTTTTTAAATTAAACAAAACAATTAGATGTATTTAGAAGATATACAAAAAAAAAAGTTGGTAAAAATTAATCCATTTCCAGTAGAGTATATGCCACCAGGTCCATATGGTCCCAAACAAGTATTAGGAGGACCCATTGTTTTTTATAGCTGTCTTTTTTGAAGAGAAAAACCCCGGGGGGGGGGGGGAGAAGAAGAAGAAGAATAAAATAAACCAAAAAACAAACAAATAAATAAAACAAAATGAAAACGAATTAAACGAAAAGAGGCAGAATTGCAGATGGCAGAAGCTACAAGTCTTTTCATTATCAGACAGAAAAACTCTTCGGAATATAACTATGGGATGCAAAAGATCCAATTTCTGCCCTCAAAAGTTACCGTTTTCTGGGAAAACAAACAGATAGGAGAGAAAGCAAGAAAATTTCATATCATCATCAGACAAAAACTTACAGAGCCAGGGGTGAAGGACTGCAAGACACTGAAATTATCAGCCTTCTTCATCAATGGTCGAAGGTGAGGATCAGCAGCCAAGAAAAGGTTCTTGACCAAAACGCCCTTGGAATCTTCTGGAAGCTTCAGATTGATCGTACCACTGGAAATCACATCCATGTCTGATTCTTTGGGGAACCCAGAAACATAGTCTTTCAAAATCAGTTTCTTGTTCCTCACCTCCATTATCTCTGCCATCTTCAACTCTCTCTCTTTCTCTCTCTCGATCGGTCGCTAGTATTGATTTTTGTTCAGACTGAATTGAAGTGTGTTTTTTCTCTTGATGATCAGAATGAAGTAGGTAACATATTTATGGTGGCTTTTTAAGTCAATGGTACTCTTGGACACGCATCTGGATAAAATATTATATGTATTGGATCACGATCAACGATTATGCAGTTTAGGTTGAATTTTGTCTAGATTTGTATAAATTAAGATTAAATTCAAGAGGTGTATGGAAGAAATAATATAATAAACTAGATAAATGTCTACCATGCGCCGCGCCCCGTAGATAGCAGCTGAAAAAGTTTAATTTCCTGCACATTGTATTTATTCTTTTGATATTTATTTAGTTATTAGAATAAAATGAAATAATAATTATATCAAACATAATAAGATGTGTGAAGAAACAATTGAGAAAATAAATAAAAATAATGCATGGAACTGACTGGAGCAAATAGAAACATTGTTACTAACCTCTACAATAATGAAAAAGATAATTAATGAAAAATATTTACTAAAAAATTAAAAACAAGAGTGCATTATAGTTGGTTATAAGTTTTTTTTTTTTTAATATGCATGCTTAGCTCAAAGAAATAACCTACACCCTCTGTTATTTTTTATAAGATTTACTTAATCAAAAATCACACACGTCATGACGTACGTCATTGGTTGAAACTAGTAATGTTTTGCTTTTTAAAATAATTTATTATCACGTTCTAAAGCTGCGCTTTGATTCTTTTCACGATAATTTTCTTTCTCAACAACTAATAAAGGAAAAATGATAATTAAGGACCCCCTACAGACATTAATCCCAATTAGAAATTTTGAAAAATAGAAATCTGAATTAAGGACCCTGAGCTCAAAACAAATGTACCTGTGCATAAGAGAGCCCTATTTGTGCTTTGTTTCGGCATCTTCCTCAGTTGCTGCTTCTCATTGTGGCTCGGCCATCTCCTTTGTCATTCATCGAGTTCTCCATATCAGCTCCAGGGGTGTGCAATCATCGGTGAGAGGTCCTCTATTGTTGCTCCCATTTTTGTTAATGGTGGTCTGATGTGTGTGCTCTATGGTCGGTGCCCTTTCTTCTCTTTTTCCAGCATTGGTGCCTCTCCCACCCTCCGTCCCTCCCTCCGTTCTTCGGTGGGGGCGAGACTGATTCTGTGATTTTTGTTGATTCTACATTTCTAGTGTCATTCCAGTAAGGCAATTGCACTAGTGTTTGAACTGTAGTAGTGTTCATTTGTGATCCCAAAATAGTTTCAAATTTCTTTATAATTTTGTGATATTCAAACCTAATTGTTGCTTTATTCTTTGATTTTTCCATGAATTTGAGAAGAAAGAGTGAGAAGCCTTTTGTTCATCAAGGCATCATGGTATTTTTATATTTTAAAATGAATTTATTTTCCTTTGTTCTTTTGCTGACCGAGCACATATACTGGCAATGAACTGGAAATTTGTAACATTTGGTTCACTTGGTTCCTCTTTATTGCTCTTTTATTGGCCGAGCTGGTATATTGGTTCCTTTTATTTGTGCTCTGATTTTGTCTTATTGTATCACTTGGTTCCTCTTGTTTTGCTATAAATTTTTAACATTGTTTTGAGCTTAGATACTGCATGTTGAGCTTAGATATTTTGTTTATGCAATAGAAGTTGCAACTCTTTGTTGATGAAGTGTGATGAGCTAGGATAGATAATTACCTACTTATGATATTTGTTTATGCAACTCTTTGCCAAGCTTGAACATTCTTTTGATGCTCGAGTTGTTCTAACCTGAATTGATTTATTTTTACAACAATTATTGATGTTGAATTGATGGATGATATAATTAAGATTGATATATTTTAGCCAGTCCTTTTGGGATCCCATTAAAAATAAATATTGTTTTGGTGATGTCAACTGACCTATGATTTATTTAAATTCTTTATACTATTTTTGGAGGTAGAGGTTAGGGAGGTTGTGACTATGACTTTCCCTAACCCTCCCCTGTTTTATGGAAAAAATTCAAATTTCATGTTTGGTAAATTCAATAGTGTTATTATATGTATTCATTAGTGACGTTAGATACATTTAATAGTAGTTTGTTTTTTACCCTCATTGTTTGTGTGTAGGATAATGGCTAAAATAAAAGGAAATTCTTTAAGGAAAAAAAGTTGTTCTAGCTTAAGCAAGTTTAAAGAGGCATATTGTGGCAAGCATACAACCCAAGGAAATGATTTGAAGAAACTCAACACAAAAGCAATTGTAGCATGGAAAAAGTTGTCATCAGAAGAACAAGATTACTACAAGTGTCTAGCTAAGGACAAAAATGCTGGTGTAAAAGCTTACGATTGTTTTTGACATCAAGCATGAAAAATGTGATCAATTCAAGTAATGGTGCTGACTTATTTTTTTTTGGATAGATTCCATTTGAGACAAGGTGTTCTCCAACAAAGATGAAGGAAGTTTTTTATTATATCAAAAAGTAAAAATCCTTAAGGGATAGGGTTAATAGAATAGGTTTTGGTAAGCTTTTAAATATTAAATGTCACAAGTTGCCTAGAGATTTATGTGACGAAGTGATGAAGGCATTTGATCCTCCTACATCATCCCTTTTCATTAGAGGTTAAAGGAAAGTCATCAATGGCAAAGCAGTTCATGCCTTACTCAGCTTGCCTAATGATAAGGAGATGGTTGATATGAAAAGGGACAAGAATAAGTTAAAGTCCTTAAATAAGGACTTTAAAAGAGTATCCTATAATGTAATAAAGGACAAGATACTCTCAGGGAAAGAAAATGATAAATTTGAGTTTCTCTTTGTTCTCTACTGCTTAGAAAATTTTTTTTGTCTAAGTTCAAGTTCCAAGATAAGTGATAAACTATTGAAAGTCATGTTCGGATTAAATTTAGGAACTGTATATTATGATTGGTCATCCTTTATACTATCTGAGCTTGGAAAGAAGGTAGCCAAATATAAAACATGGGAGAAGAAGGATGGGCATAAAAAACAGTTGGAGGATGCTTATTTCTTCTTACGGTATATGGATGCATTAAGATATAATTTGTTATAAGTTAATTATTTTAAACAAAATTCTATGGGTTATATGATATAGATGTCAATATGTAGATTTTCTACTTTCAAATGTTTCATTGGAGCCAATTGAGGTGCCATTGCAAGATGATGCTCTAGAACATTGGACAAAGGAGAGAGTGACAACACGAGTTCAGCTTAAGAAGGCAAGTGATCACAGCATTTTATATCACCCTTCCTAAGGACATGACAGCTTCTTAGTAAAGCTTCTAAAAATGAATTCATTTTATAATCCAGTAAGGGCAAAATGATGGTTGTTAATTAGCAAAGTTATATTTTATGTGATTTTATAGATATGATATTTTAAATGTTATAGGACATAAAAGAGGTATATAGAGATGTTGTGACCTTTACACGTGAAATTGCACAAAGACTCCTCAAGCTCCAAGGTAAAAGAAGAGGAGAGGAAGTTGTTCAAAAGCATGAAGGTGAAGAGGAAGAGGAGGAAGAGTTGGAACATGATGGAAAAAACAAGGAGGAGAAGAGACAGGAGATGAAAATGAAGAATCCGGAGAAGATGAGAAGGAAGAAGAGGAAGGAAAAGTAGAAGGAGATGAAAATGAAGAGGAGGGAGAATCGGGTGCACAAGAAGAAATAGAAAAGAAAATTAGAAAATAAGATTTTAAGGGTGAAATGACGCTAAGAAGGTCACAACAATAAATAGTCAATAGTATTTGTTCACCCTTTTTGGATGATGGAGGGAAGGTAAAAAGAGGATGTGAAGAAAAGGACAATGCACAAAGAAAGAGGTTTATCAATACTGCACAAAATTTCTTCCACCAAATGAAGGACATGAGCATGATATTCAACCTTATTAATTAATATGGTCATAAGCGATTGGTTGATATAATTTTGTTTTTTTTAACAGGAAAATTGTGGAGATTGAATAGTATTATCTGACAAGATATGGATGCAAGTGTCTAGGTCCTAGACAATGGATTAGTAGTTCAGTGAGAAAGTGTGCTAGTTAAAATAGATCAAGTTATAGTAAAATTTTAATGTAATTGTTGTTTTTTATATAAGTTATTACATTAATTGGAAGACTTCTGGTCAATGAGCGAAAGGAAAAGGATCAAGTTGTGCAGCAACACATTTTTGATCTAGATTTTAAGGTTTGTCTTACAGTTTAGTTCCTTTATTTTATTATGTGCTTATAAGTTATAAGTATTAAATTTTTCATTTTAAGGAACCATAGTTCACTAACATAAAAGATGGGACTTGTATAGCCATTTGAAAGACTTTATGCCAACTAACATCAAGTATAACAGGAGATTGCAATTTCATTTTTTTCCTTAGTGTTTGCATTGCACTGGTTTTACTATATTGTGGAGCCAAAAACAGCCACAATGTATGTGTTGTACTCGATGCTACCATCTAATAAAGAATCAAAAAAGAAAAAGAAGAATATAAAGAAAGTGAAGGAAGCTCTTTTACCAAAAGAGAAGGAAAAAATGGCATATTTCATGGTATGCCTTTTCCCATATAATGATATATAAAATTTTATTAGTGAAAACTTTTCATTCACTTTGTTATTATTCTAAGAAAAACAAGTTTGTAGAAATATTGATGAAATTGAAACTTAAACTTATTGATGACAATTATGACCTAGAGTTGAAAGTGGTGCCTATGTAACAGCAACTGACGACGTAAGTAAAAAAGATAAAATTGTGTACATGTAATTATGTGTATATTTCCTAACTAAGTACTAATAGCTTTTATATTTTTTGTAGATCTAACTATGGAATGTATGTTATCTTTTGCCTTAAACAGTGGAATAATATTGCACGAGAGGAATGAGGCGGCCTTACTATGCTTTCATTAACAATGGAAGGAACAAATGTTAAAGTTAAGACATAATTCCTATATGTGACAATTTTGTGTCTTCTGAGTTGACTTTATCTGATTGTGTAGGAACAATTAAGTGAAATGAGGAGTAAGTATTGTATTGGTTGGTGACTCATCATCCACACAACAGAGTGGGCT